CAAGCCCAGGCTCAGCCCCGCCACCGACACCCTCCTGCATCCCCACCGGGGCCCCAGCCCCTCGTGGTGCCCTTTCCTCCCCGCCAAGAGCACACCAGGCCTCTCTGTGCATCACTTTAATGGACAGGCCGTTTATCAGACGGCTCTGCGCAAAGAAAGAAAAACTCAGCAGTGTCCTGGGAATCTCAGGGACCGCAAGTACATTATCACACTCATACATCTGACATCAGACACGTGTCCACAGCACAGCATTGTGTACAGCGCAGCCCTCACACGCCGGGCACAGTGGCCTGGGGCAGCGGGCACCTCGCACAGAGCCCAAACAGGGGACACTCCACTCTGGGGGGGCATAGGGGACAGGGGACACACCGCCTGCGTCCACCACTATGCCTGCTCCACGCCCTTGACAGGCATCAGCCTGCAGCCAAAACTACACCCTGAAGACATGCTGCTGGTTAGTCCTTTATCCAAATCTTCCATGAACAGGTGAACACAGGGATGCTCGTTGTCACCCTGGAGACGACCCCACGGAACGGGGGGATCTTGACGGGTCACGCGAGCCCTGAGGCGACGAGGACTAGGACAGCAGGCAGTGGGCGACGCAGGTGCACACAGACACTGCGGTCAACCCGCCACGTGGGTTCAGTTCATCATCCCCGGGTGCTCTGAAGGGTGAACAGCTCCGTTTCCGAGGCCACATGCACCAGCAGGACGGCTCCTCTGGCCACTTCCCAGGAAGTTTTGGAATCCCAAGTGCAGGCCAGGGCCCCGGCCGGCCAGGTGGCTGTAATCTGTAATCTCTCAGCTACCAACTGGGAGCTCCAGCAACCACGCCGCGGGCCATGGGACAGGAAATGGGTTCCGGACTCGGCTTCACAACTAGAAACATGGCTACAAATGTTTTCCACGTGTATATATTTTGTTGGTGGATTGGTTTGGTTTTTTCCTTTTGGTTAAAAACAAAGAAACAAAAAACCCACGGCGTCTCTCAAGTATATAAAACTGGTAATATTAGACAAAAATACAAAGTTCACCTTTACAAAGAAACAAAAACAAAAGCAACACACACACACACGGTTTCTGTTGAATACAGGTTAAGCGTAACATCTTACCAAAAATAAAGAGTTTACGTTCTGTCCAAACCCTGGCAGCAGCAGGGAGCCCCCCTTGCAGCCACTTGGGAAGCCACGTCCCGAGGCCCACACCGTGGCAAGCGGGGGGACTCTGGGGACAGGACACTCGGGGATGGTGATTGGCTCACGCACAGTCTCGAAAGGGCTTAAATTAAGAAGTGAATTAAATGGGGCAAGGAAGAAACACGGAAAGCCAGAAACATTTAGGAAATGATGCATAGGTGGGTATACCATGTTTATTTTAATACATCTCATTCGTTTGCATCCTGCTAGGAAAGATACCGTTCCACTGTCCTGACTGTTAACAGCAGCCTGGTGTTATCGGTGTAAATGTCATCCAAGAGATAATTAAAAAAAAAAAGCTAGGCAAAGAGTAAAAAGGAAAGCTTAATAATCACTTTATGGTGTAAAAAAAAATCCACTTAAGGCTCTCAGAAGGTTTCTGTATAGACTGAAACACTACAGCAAGGGGGTGCGGCTCCCGAGATGCTCCCGGCTCCTGCGTCCCCGCAGAGCCTGTCAGCATCCGACTGCAGTCTTCGGGAAGCAGGCTCCGTGTCCTTGGCAAGAGCACCTGTGACCACCTGGACAGAGATCCAGTCTGCCGAGACGCCTGTCGCTTCCACCCCATGGCGTCCCTCCGATCCGGCAACGGTTTAGATATTTTTGTGAGTCAGTTTTGTTTGTCGCGTTTCGTGGTTTTGTTTGCTCGCTCGCTCTCTCTTTTTTTTTTTTGACAAGGAAGCTTCTTATTGTTTCACCGAGTGCTACAATACTTGCTTTGATGTCACATAAACAACGTATACTGTCTCTTTGTTCTCCAGGGTGTGCATGGAGACAGTTTTCACGGAGGAGAACAAAGACCGCGCTGGCGATAAGCACCGTACATGGCAGGTTCAGGAATGTAACACATCATGTACATCCGTGTCCCGGGAGAGGGCTGCTGGCGTATCCTCACCTCACATCTGCAGGCAGAGGGGAGAGACGGGTGCTGAGAGGCGGGGCCACGAGTGCTCGCACCGCCACGTGGAGCATTTAAGCCAATCAGATGTGTGTGTGCCCACAAGCACACACACTCACACACATGCACACACACATACCACATGGCAAGTCTTAGGATTTAAAGCTTTTGTTAAAATTTTCAAATCAAATATCCCTCATTACGCTTTCTGTAACATCCTGACCAGAACTGGGACTAGGCTCTTGGGATCGCACAGAACATGGCTTCAGAGCAACCCCCATTCTCCCATTGTACAGATGGGGAAAACTGAGGCCCAGAAAGGTTCTTATGCCTTTCTCCTCACCTCCCTCTTTCTTCCAGTCTACAGAGCTTGATGTGGTTTCTGGAGCTCTGGCAACCACTTTGGGCCATGAGGCAACCCTGAGAGGATGGATGCCATGAGCCAGACACAGGGGTTCCTGTGACCAGGCAGAGCTACACTGAGCTCAGCTAAGAGCATCTCTCCCCTACCCTTTATCACCTGTCTGTGGCTCATCCCGGTACTTGAACCACCACATGCCCAGAGCCCGAGTGCCAGCAGAGGTCTCCAACATCAGCTGGCCCATGGAGGCCAAGCCCAATGGCCGCAGACTTGGATGCACAGGCAGGCACAATACCCGCCCCAGCACCCCACCCTCGGGACCCAAAGCCAAGGCTGAGCAGTCGTCTGGAGGCTGCTTCAGGATCCATCCATGAATGCAACTGCCCTGTGGGCCTCGGAGGCTCCCAGCCTGGCTGTCACACACTGCCCAGCTGGAGCCCGGCTCCAGACACCTGTCTGTGAGAATTCCTCTCACAGCCAGTGGTTTTGGATGCCAGGGTTCCCACATGCTTGGAAGCAAGGACCAGACTCTCCGGAGCCAGATAGGCCAACACAAAGGACCAGGAAGGCTTAAAACCACCTCCTCCATGATGCTGGTTGCCCACATCCACTTTCCTCTGGGAAGGCCCTCTGAAAGACCACCTTTCCCAGGCCTCCCTGCAGTGGAGGAGTGGCCAATGAGATCAAAGCAAAAGTCACTGGGTCCTTCCACCCTTCTCCCCACCCTACACTTTCCTCCAGCCTGGAGGGGAATGTGATTTCTGGAGCTCTGGCAACCACTTTGGGCCATGAGGCAACTCTGAGGATGGATACCACCAGTCCTGGAAAGAAGAGAGTCCCTGATGATACTTTGAGACTCAGAGCCATGCATGCTCTGGTCTCCCTGTCTCAACCTTCTCTCAACTCCTGTTTCCAGTGTGTTCCTAGAATCCAAACATAATTTCCAATACAGCAGCCAATAGCCCTATACATTTATAAAGCATTTTCAGCCTGAAGTATCTCCTCAGTCTCCAACAATCCTTATCTGTAACCCCTGTAAGCCTCAGTTTTTTCATCTGTCAAATGGGGTGGGCAACCTGTTCACGGTGATCCCAGCTCACAAACAGAGCTGCCCCACTGCTGCTCAGGGAACCCAAATCACTCCACTCACGTGATGCCTTTGACTCCCCAATCAACAAGGACCAAAGCCAGAGCAGGGGCCCCAGAGGGGGAGGAGCCGTGAGTCAGGCGTCCTGCGCAGCGGGTGGGGGAACCGGGGATGGGAGCGCGGAGACCCACAGCCCAGCTAGACACCGGAAGCTCGCAGTCGATCAGGGCCAATCAGGGCGCATCCTCGCCTCCAGGGTGATTCACCGAGTGATCAGTCATCACGCCCCCACCCGGGACTGCGGCACATCCGTGGACGGCTCCTACCTGGTTGGCCGCATTAGGTGGGTTTTAACCTTTTTCTTTTCCGTTTTTTACCTGACTCCCTACGCCTTCCTGTTGACAGAAGGGCAGGGAGGGTGAGCAGGCCCAAGGGAGGGCTGTCAGGTGGGAACTGAAGCAGTAAATACCTGGGGTGTTTGTCTTTCTATAAAACAGCTCGACGTCGCTGGCTCGGAGATACTTCCTGGTCCCCTCGAGCTGGCCCCATACAGCGGTCACCACGCCACATCGCTCTGGGCGAAGTCCACCCGAGGGGGAGGCCAGGACCCTGACTAGTAACACTGCGGCCAGCAGCCCACACCCACCAGGGCGGGGCCCTTCCTCAGCCACATCTCTACTACGTAACCCACTAGCCGCCCAACTGGGGAGACAGACTTAACCTGCACAGCCGGCCCAACCACGCCCCCTCACACTGCAGTGATGCCCACGGGAGCAGAATCCACTTGGCAGGTTAGCAAACGGCCGACAGGCCTCTCGCTGCAGCCCCCCACCCCACGGCCCACCAAGCCCACGGGACGTGGCTGCAGAAGCAGGCTCTGGGCCCTTTCCATGAGCAGTGACAGTGACAACAGCCCCGCGTACCTGCCTCCTCTTCTCGGTGGCCCGGGGTCGGGCTGGCGGTCGTGCACGTGCACTCCAAGTGCTCCTCCAGCCGCACCTGGACCTCTTTTAACTTTGGCTTCTTCCTGACGTATTCCACCTTGGCCACCTGCCCGAGACAACAGCCCTGCTGTGAATACTGCAGCCGCGCCTTGCACATGTCACGAGTCGCTGGGAGCAGGGGACGTGCTGGGTCCCACCCGGGCCGGGAGGGAGGTGTAGGCTCAACTTTTGACCTCTGACCTCCTCCCAGTGGGAAAGGCGAGGGCACTGGGAAATAACCACCACCTTCAGTCCAGCATTTGTGGTCTGGTCCCATTTTACCTTAAATGCAAAGGGCCTGAGTGTGCCGGGAGACAGCCTGCAGGATGCACTCAAGGTGGAAGCTCTGAGGAGGGGTGGGCAAGGGAAGGGGTTTGCGTCCATGTCTTACGGGCATCTGGGGCAACGGGAGAAATTCTCAAACGTGCACTTGACTACAGCAGCCGAGGGACAGGGCTGCTGTGTGTGTAACTGGTGGTAAGGGCACCACACTCCCTCCTGCCCACCAGCCCAAGGCCCGAGGGCCCACAGGGAGCCTCGATGCAGACTCCAGATGAGGACCCCACAGCCACCTGACTTGGGGCTGGGCCCAGCCCTGCAGCCTCGCCCAGGTCCAAGGTCCCGGGAACAACCCTCTGGGGGACCACCCACTCCACCGTTCGCCTGGGGAGACTGAGGCAGGAAGGGGCAGAGCCCACCGGGTTACACCTCGAGCATGTGGAGGCGCCGGGAAGCCCGGCTCATGGTCCAGAGCAGGCGGGGTGAGTGGGGCCCCAGCCCGGAGACAGTCAGGAGGGGCAGCGGGGAGGGGACCACCTTCCAGACTCCTCTACAGAGAGCCCAGAAGCCAGAAGCCGGAGCACCAGGGCAGTGCGGTCAGCCCTGTACCCTGGGGACTGGGCCGCCCGCCCCACAGGCCAGCTGGCCCAAAGGCTTGTCCAGACCTTTGTGGCCACGCAGCCGCAGAACTGTTACCCCAAGGTGCAGAGGTGCTGGTGCCTGGTGGCCGTGGAAAGTATACACGGCTCACGGAGGCGACAGGGGCCAGGCCAGAATGGGGGCCAGGCCTGGGAGGCTGCCTAAGCGGCCCTGGGAGGAGAGCTGCAGGACGGAGTCCGTTCCGCTCGGGAGGCCTGGGAGTCTGCTGCCCCCTCACCTGCCCTCCCCACAGGAGAGCCTGGGAGAGGCGTCCGCGGGGAGCGGGCAAAGGCCTCCGCCCTCCTATATGTAAAATGGGGACATGGGCCACACCCACCCAGGGGTCACAGTGAGGAACAAACAAGGTCTCATGTGCAGAAGCCCTGGAACGTGGGACCGGGTCACCTTCCAGACAGCCCTGCTGCAGGCACCTTCACACAGAGCCCGTCCGTGCCGAAACCAGCCCCAGACCCCCTCGGTCCTGGGCAGAACGCGGGTCCCAGAGCGACCCTCCCCTTCAGGGCACTGGGTGGGGTGCCCCTCAGCAGGTCTCCCAAGAGGGCAGAGGACCCTGGCTTCACCCCAGTCACCCCATCAGCATTAGGAGCCCCTAGTCTGACCAGGCAGTAACTGGGAGACCCATCCCCTCTTGCCTCTGCAGGGCCTCACCAGCCTTATCCCCTCCCCTGTGGCTCAGGTAGTGGGGACAGAGACCTGGTTCCCCACGCTGGGTACCCAAGTGTCCCCACACCCTGCCTCCTGGACCCTCCATGGGGGAACACAGGGAGGCAGGGCAGGCGGGCAGTACGAGGGGCTGGGCTCCCGCAGGGCAGCAGTCCTGTTCTCGGACCAGCCCTCTGGACGGCTCAGCCCCTTTGGTCAGTGAGCACCTCCCCAGCTTCCTCTCCAGATACCAGGACCTAGGCTCCAGGGCGGGGGGCAGGCTCATTCTCCACCAGACAGCCCGGCAGACAGGCCACGGGACAAGTGGACGCACCAGCAGCGTGGCCCCCGCTGTACCCTCGTGAAGGGCACACAACACTGGCCACTCCGGTCTGGAACCCACTTCCTCTTCAGAGAAAAATCTTGTTTTTCTTATCAAAGGAAAACAAACAGGGATTTATGATTGCACCTGCTTCTGGGTATGCACGGATTCCAGGCGGATCCGCCACCTCTGTCTGGCCAGGAAACGGCTACATTTTTCCCCCAAGCACATGCCATGAATATTAACTTCTCAGAAGCATCCTCCACACCAGCCAAGGCCACAGATCAAGACGTGTACGTCCTTGGGATCCGTCGCCTCATCCCCAGACCCATACTCAGGGCCCCAAGTCTCCCCACCCTTCCCCGTCATTTATCTCGGGAGTCTGGGCTGCACCTGAAAAACCAGACGTTCAGATTCCCCGCTTCAGAGTCTGCTGCGTCATGAACAGCCCATCTGCGCACTCCTGGGGCAGCGCCACCCCAGAATGCAACCTCACCCTCCCAGATGGGGGACTTGAGTGCCGGCCGCGCACCAGCCTCCCCAGCTGGGCTGCTATGCTGCGGGAGCCCCATGAGGGCCAGGGGGAGCCCCAGGCTGCAGGCGACCCCTCCAGGGTATCCAGAGCTCCACCCGGGGTCAACGCTGGCGTCCACTGAACACCACGTGCCTGGCACACGCACTCCCAGCCGCCTGCAAGGGCACAAGTGCCGACCGTGTCCAGGCGGGGCACAGACAAGGCTTCTTTCGCTGGAAGGAGGCCTAGGCCGGGAGCCCGCGGCCACTTTAAGCTCGCCCCTTAACCAGGGGATGTCCTGAGCCAGAGATCCGTCCTGCGGGGTGAGTCTCGGCAGACAGACCTCGGCCTGGTTCACAGGCAGGTGGTGGGGAGCCCTTTTCCTCAGTCTGGCCAAGAGGCCACAGCAGCACAGAGAACAGAGACCCCAGCTCCCGGGCCTGAAGCTGACGGGCAATGCTCCTGAGGCAGGGTTCTGCTCCCTAGACGCTGGCCTCCCCGACCTCCTCGGGCAAGCATCGGGCATCCCTGCCCACGGGGGAAGGGACTCGGGGGCCCTGGACCTGAGACTCACGCTGCCGGAATTGCTGCTTTCCCCCCAAACCCCCAAACTGGACCCCTAAACAGCAATGGCTGATGGCCAGGACCGCTCACCCCACCGTTCCCCGTCCATTACGGGGGCAGAAGCCCATCTGGGGTATCCTGGGTGGACACCCACCTTCCAGAAGCCTGAGGTCTAGCAAAGCAGAGCTGAAGCCAACCACCCTGGACACAGGCACAGAGCTAGGTCTCGGCGTCTGGAGACCTGGCCCGCACGCTGCCCTGAAACCAAGAGCAGCCCAAACTTGCGACGTGTGAGAGGCCGGAGGCCTGCCCAGCAGTGGGGGGCTGCGGAGGGGGCCGTGGACCCCAGCACGTCCTGACACCAGGACCAGGGGCCGCCTCCGGCCAACGGCACGCTGGACAGCTTACATCCTGGGCCTCGGCAGGGTGAATGAGAAACCCAGGAGAGACCAGGGACGCCGTCTTCACGCCGGCCCCCAGCACCCATCACACACGCACCCAGTCTGGGGTTCCTAGGGGTCCCCTCCCTGATCGCCCTCAGCCCCAGATGGGAGCAGGAGCTGCTTGCTGGCCAGGCTGGGGCCGGGCTGGCCTCCACAATGGGCCTCCTGTTCCCACTGACCTTGTCTCCTCTCCCCCAGAACCCCCAGTGTCTGGGGCCAGATGTTTTCCCGCCAACTTTCTGATGGGCGCGCCAGGAGGAGGTGCCTTCCCCGAAGAGGGAGACAGGGGCGGGGCCCCGGCTTCCACAGCAGGACTGACCCCTTGGGCAGGTGAAGCCCTGGTGAGGGAAGCCCCCAGCCCTGCTCCCTTACCTGCCCCGAGCCGGTGGGGCCTGTGCCCAGGCAGACCACCAGCATGCTGTTAGGACCCCTGCGGAGCTCTGGACGCCCGCCCACCTCCTCAGGGGGGACCAGAAGCGAGGCGGATCACCGCCCACCCCAGGACTGGACACTCCCTGTCCTCCCACCCCGGGGAAGCAAGAATGAGAACAGCGAGGGTCCCCAGAGGCTGGGGCCCACCAGGCAGAGTCCCAGTCCATGCCAGCTCCCCTGTACCTCCGTCCCGTCTTGAGGCCCCAAGGACAGCCCCCAAAGCCCCAATGCAGGACAGTCTACGCTAGGGTGCCCCTCCACATTCAAGACAGACAGACCGCAGCCTCCCAGATTCTCGGGGCTCCAGGGGAGTCAGGCCTGTTTCCACCTTGAACCGAGGAAGAGCTGGGCTCCCCCAGCAGCAGGGGCAGCCCGGGCGCAGGGCTGGCTCGGCGCCGGCGCTGGGAGCCCCGCCCCAGATCAGCACTCCAGGGGCAGCTCAGCCCCAAGGGGAGTGTCCACCTCAAAACCCAGGGCAGCAGGCCGCGGAATTTGCTTGCTCAATGCCCAAGCATGCAGAGGACTGAGTCCCCGAGGTCAAACCAGCTCCAGTCACGGGTCTAAAGTGCTTCCCACATGGCGACCACCAGGGTCCTTAACCCCCACCTCGCTTGGGGGCCTGCAGCCAACACCAACAGGCCCGGACCCCGGACTTGCAGGGGATATGAAATAAATTCTAGTGAAGGAACAAGTTTCAATGCACCCCCAGAACCGAAGTCCTCACTCCAGGAGAAACAAACCCACCTGCCACGGGAAGCTCAGCTGGGCCAGGGGCAGGGCCGCTCCCTGTGGAAGGTGTCAGTCAAATCTACACGCCCAGGGTCACCCGGGACCATGGCCACCCAGAGCCAGTTTTCTAGGAGGGCAGCCCCTCCCCTAGACCAGGAGCCCCCAGGACTCTCCAGGCTCGGCCACCTTCGGAGAAGCCAGGAGACACCCTAAAACCTCCCCTCCAACCCTGCCCTTCGGAGATGCAGGGAGACTCGCCTCCAAGCAGCAAGGCCACTGTCACCTTGGGAGTTTCTCAGCCCCAGACACAGAGTCCCACTGCTTCAGACCCATCCCAGATGAGGCGAGTAGGGCCTGAGGGGCACAAACCCAGGCCGAGAAAAGCTTCCAGCCACGGGGCCAAAAGCCAGACCCCCACACTGCTGCCCAGTGACCTGAGGACTCAGCAGAGGAGCCCCAGACGTGTCATCTGAGGTGACCCCCCACACATGCCCGCAGTGCTGCCCTCAGAGGTTGTCACGACCGGCCCCTCCTTGGAGAGGGCTTCCTGGCAAACTCCGGCTGTATGCTGGCTCCCAGGGGCCACAGGTGGGCGGCAAAGACCTCCAAACCAAGCCACGGGGCCTGCGGGTCTCCAAGCAGAGCACACCTTTCTGGGATGGTGGGCCTAGTCCCCAGGACCTCAGCACCTTAGAAGGACCCTTCTGGCCAGAGCTCCTTCAACACGCACGTCCAGTGGAATGGGGCACCCTCCCAGATTTACAGATAGGGTGGAGGGCCGGCGAGGCAGGCAGCGAGCTTGGCCCCTCGGCCTGAGTTCTGAGCTGTAGGGGAAGCCAGCCACCGGCCCAGCCCCACCAGTGCTCCCCTCCTGTCTCCAGTGGGGGACCCCAGCCACACACCACAATCCCCACTCAAGTGCCCTCGGGAGCTCTCCAGGGCTTGGAGGAGACGCCAGGCAGCTCCAACTAAGTGGATGGACACCATGCAAGACCCATTAGCGAGGCAAACAGCCACACTGTGAGATCCAAATGGCTGTTCCCAGCGAGGCGGGTGGGGTAGCGGGGAGCAGAAGCAGACGCCACCCTTGAATGACTGATGGGACCCAAGCCCGGACCACCCGCCCGGGCCGTGGTGTGCCTCTCAGGGAAGCGGGAGAGCCTTCCACACACCGGCGCCGCTGCGGCCCCCGGGAGGGCTGCGGGCGGGCTCACCTTCACACTCCGGTGGTGGATGCGGGAGGGCTGGCACTTGACGCTGCTGGTGTTGCAGCAGCCAGTGCAGCGCTTCACCTCCACGCACGGGGGCCAGATCAGGAAGTTGGCAGACGTGGGGTCCACCTGGCTCCGAGGTATCTCGTAAATGACCGTCCTGGTCTTGCAGACTGCGGGGATGGCTTCCTCTGCAGAGGCAAGAGCCACGGTGAGGGCTCTATCACCCCTCAGGGCAGCCGCAGCTCCAAGGAGCCAAAACCTGTCCGGGGGCGACCAGGCTGCTGTTGCCTCCCCGGTGAATGCCATGCAGCCCCAGGGCCCAGCAAAGGCAGAAAGACCCTCATCCCAACAGGGCTCAGCTGGCTAGCCCAAAGACGAGCAGGGGCTTGAGGGCCCGGAGGGGACACCCCAGGGAAGGGTGGGCGCAGAGGGCTGGAAAGCCACCCACACACCGGGGGCTCACACAAGCCCTGCAGCCTCCCCCATTGGCCTTTGCCCGGGTGCCTGGGGTTTGGGGGGATCATGGGGTGGCGGAGCATCAGCCTCTCAGCCGTCCCTGCTTTCTGAGGGCTCCCTCCTGCCGGGAGACTCGGCGGGTAGGCGCAGCCTGGACGATCTCCAGGGACGAGCCGGCAGATCAAGACCACCCCTTTGGGGTCTGGCCGCCCCAGTGGGAGAAGGGGTGCCACTCCCAGGGCCCAGCCCAGCATCCAGCAGGCAGGAAGGACCCAGGGTGCCCGGCCAGGTGGGGCCGAGGGTGGAGACAGGGAAAGAGGCTTCTGGTCCAGCCCTTGTTTACTCGTGGACATTGGCCACCTCCCCGCCCCCCCCAACTGCCCGTCTGGAGCAGGACCCTTGTCTGGAGCAGGATGAGCCTCAGTAGAGGGTCCTGAAGCCTTGCTGGAGTGCCCGGTCTTTGAGATGCAAAATAGAGGTTCATGAAAAACGTCACCTGGGGAGGTCCGTGGGCCTTAACAAGGATCGTTTACACACACGCGCGAGCGCGCGCGCATGCCCAAAAGTAGAGGCTACAAACGCCGTCTTCTTAGAGGAATAAAGCTCATGCGGAGGGAGTCACTTACCCAAGGTCACCTGGGGAATCAGCAGGGGGACCCCCAGGTGGCATGGGACTGGGGGGGGTCACACCCCCTAACTGCATCCCTGGGCCAAGATCTCCCCTCAGAGCTGAGCCTGAGGCCCCAGGAGACCCCACCAGCCTATGGCTCCTGAAGGAGCCAGCCAGGCAGACCCGGGGACGCTCTGCAGGAGGGGACAAGAGCCAAAATGTCCTCCAGACCTGAGCCGGCGGCCCCGTGGGCCTGGCCCGAGTGGAGTGGGGGCCCCGAGGAGGGCCCACGAGGCACCCCACGGCTGCACCCACTGCTCTGTAGCGTGGCCAGGAACACATCGTGCTCCACGTTTCAAACTGGAAATTAAACACCACCCGTCTTCCAGGGAAGCTGCCTCCAGAGCAGGCCCCAACAAGACTGGGCACTGAAGGAATTTATGATGGTTCTCCTCTCCTGGAAACTCAAGGCCCAGGCCAGGCCTGCAGCAAGGAGCAGCTAGGGCAGGGAGAGGCGGGAGGCGGGGGCCCCCCAGCAGGCTCTGCCTTTGTTTTCGGGAGGAGAGAAGGGCCTGCTACCCTGAGGCCACGGTTGGAGGAGACGGGGCGGGTCCCCCCCAGCCCCTCCCGCCACCCCGCCCACAGCACCAGGCTCACCGATGCTCCTTTTCCTCCGAATGGGCACAGGCCGCTTCTCCGGTGCATGCTTGGCGCCACGGCCCCCGTGGGCTCTCAGGCTGGTCTCCAGGGGATCCTCGGCCCCTACAGATGGGAAGAGGGGGTGGTGACCAGCCGCCCACACCTTGCGACAGCCCCGGGGCCCGTACAGCAGCACCTCCCACAGGCCAGCCTGCTCTCCCTCCCCAGTACAGATGGGGTCCCTCCACTCTGGTAAGGGGGGGTTCCAGACGTGCAAAGGATGAAAGACGCCCAACTGCCAAAAACGTCCACCTGCCCCTGTGAAGCCTACACGAGGTCCAGACATGGAGCCCTGGCTGCGGAGCCCCTGACCCCTGGGGAAGGCTGCAGCCACTCTCCCCCGAGGCTCCTCCTCAGGGAAGCCCAGGTGAGGCCTGGACCACATCAGGAAGCACTTGAGGCCAGCCGTCCCCATCCGCGAGACCAGGGCCAGCGGGCCTGCGGCTCCCAGCTGAACGGGGCCCCGAGGACAGCAGGCTGGACCAAGGACCAGCAAGGCCTGCTGCTGTGACTGCCAGTGCAGGGTCTCCCTCCCCCGCCCTCCCTCACTGCACCAACCCTGGCCCGGGCCCGAGCATCCTGGCCCCATTTGTCCCTGAACCCCGCCCCCTGCGAGGGAGAGGCTTCGAGGACCGAGAGCAGAAGAGAAGCCTCCTGTGTAGCGTGAAGCATGAGACGGGAGTCCTGGTGCCTGGTGCAGGAGGCAGCTTCAGGAGGGGAAGAGCTTTGCCACCCAAATATCAGAGGGCCGCAGAACCGGGCAGACTGGCTCCAGCCCCTCACACACACATCCCCACTCCCTCTGCCCCCAGGGCCCCCCAGAAGGGCTGGAAGGGACACACAGTCCTGCCACCTGCCATCTGGCCTGACCCAGCTCATGACAGTGCCTACAGCTGGACTAACTGGCCTGGCCTCCCCACCCTGGCCCCCAGCTGGGGGGGGTCTCTTCCCACTTCTCCCCTCCATCGCTATCTCCCCAGTAGGCAACTAGGGGCAGTGGGCCCGAGAAGGTGCCCCAACAGCCAGGAGCTCCAGCAGCTGCACAAAGATCCCTTGTCTTGCCACCTCCCTCCCCAAGAAACTCCAGTGGTGTCCCAGCCACCAGCTCAGACTGAGGCCCCCTCCTCTGTGCCCAGCCCACCAAGGCCTTGGTGACTGTCCACATCCGCAGGTCTGGGAACTGCACTCATTGCACACGAAACCTCAACACTGCAAAGGCAGTGGGGATGAAGGGGATGGCCCTTCTGGATGCTGAGGTCCAGGGGGGCCCAGCTCTTCCCTTAAAATGACTCAGTGTTCCACTACCACCAATTTTTTTTGAGACCCAAAATAAGATCAGAACAGAACTACTCATGCAATAAGAATTTCCCATCAACCAACTGTTACAAGAAGCATGTTTTCACGAAAAAGTGACATAATGAGTCACGTCCTAGTGGTGGCCATCTTGCCACCGCCAAACCCAGGAGGAGCTGGTCCATCCTCAGTGTCTACAGGAAAACGGAACTGCAGCATCACGGACGACAACCCCATGCCTCCCTCCAGCCAGGCGGCAGCCGCTCTCCCCCAGGACCTCATCACGATGTGCACGCAGTCGGCACTGCCTCTTCATCTGGAAGAAACAGAGGCCCGAGACGTGGAAAGACCAGCAAGACCGGCGGAAGGACCCTGGGGGGCTGTGTCCAGAACCAGACCGCCCTCCTGCCCAGGGACGAGGCCCGGGAAAGCAGAGAAGACACAGCCTCCCAGTTCATCACCTGTCCTGAAATCTGAACCAGGACTCGCTGTCAGTGAGAGACAGAGTAGAAGCAGCTCAGACAGGCTCATCCACTGCCCAGTGGAGACAGGTGGTCAGGAAACTCAGCGCAGACCCGGCGGACAGGGAGGCAGCCATCTGATCCACAGGTGGAGAAGCCAGCAGTGGGGACTTCCAAGAGAAGGCCCCACAAGGACCAGGCCCCCAAACCGCTCTCAGGACAGTTAATTGACTGGTTTCCCTTTTGTCTTTCAGGCACAGAAAGATGGGGAGCCCTCCTCTAGCCATCGGTCCTAGAGGCGCCGTCAGTGGCCGGGTTAGGGATATTTATGTTCTGGTTATTCAGTGACCACAGGCGCCTGTCCAGGCCACTCCGAGAACAGACCTCCTCAGCTCCCACCGCCGCTCTGCTGAACGGCTGACTCTCGGCACACCTGACCAACAGGCCCCCAGCTCCACATACTGCTGGTCTCCCCACCCAAAGCCACATGTGAAAAACCCACGGCCCATCCTGGCACACGATTGGAGCCCACAGACACTGGCTCAGGAATCCACCGCCTCAGGGCCGCCAGCCTCGGGGCGGGAGTTCCAGGCTCAGCTCCTCACCTGTAAAATGGGAACAAGGCCTTTCCACTGGGAGGAGTCCGGAACCCCACCTGCCAACCACATGCCCCGCCCACTCGAGGGAGGAGCCAGTCTGCTAAAGGAGCCCCTCTCCTGCCTCCTGGGCACACAGCATTGAGGGGTGAGGACATCCAGGCCTGGGGGGTCTCTCCGCACCAGCCCCTTCCTCACTGATCCCAGACTGGCCTCTGACTGGTCTAGTGGGGCATTCAAGGCACAGAGGGCAGTTCATCCTCCAAGGAACGACCCCACGGCTGTTCACAACCTCTCTGAGCAGCCAGACCTGTTTCAGCTCTTCACTCTGGGCAGAAGCCGAAGTTAGGGGAAAGACCCCCCCCAAAACAAGCCATAGAAGCAACCAGCTCAGACCAGAGACGGCGGAGCCCTGTTCTCAGCATCCATGCCTGTGAGAGGAGAGCTGACCGAGATGCAGGAGACCCACTTCAGGGTCCCCCAGGGCCAAGTCTAGTGAGCCGGGGAGATCCTGGGGTCCCTGCGACGCTCTCACCCCAAAGGTTCCCAGGCACTAGGAGTCCCACCCTCAGACTCCGAAACATCTGACAGGTGTGGGGGGAGGGCCGGCAATCGACTCTGTCCACTCCCTGGGGCAGGAGGGAGACAGCTCCCAGGGGCTCTTTATAAGGGGGCAATTTGAAACCAGCCAGAGAACCAGCTAGTGCACTTGGGCTTCTGTTTGGACCCTCCCAAGGAGGCCCTGGACCCAGAGCCCCCAGGTCAGGAATGCTATCAGCGTGATCCCAGAGCTGCAATGCTAAAAGCATTAATGGAGGGGGTGGGGGGCGGGGCTGCAGAGACCAGAATAAGAATGGTCGGGGCAGAAAGTAAATGGCCCATTTCCCGGGGGCAGCCGAAAGCCCGTCCTGCCAGGGGGCCCAGCCTTTTCCAGGCCTTACTCCTGCCAGCCTGAAAAAAAGAGCCTGAGCCCTGGAACCTCTCTGGGAGCCAGTCTCCCCACTTTCCCAGACCCATCAGGGAGTGGCAGAACGCAGCTAACCAAAGCCAGACCCTCCTCCTCAGGGTCACACATCAAGGAACCAGATCAATGCCCGCCCCCCGAACCCCGGCCCAACTCTGATCTCCAAGTGAAATCCTGCCCCTTCCTGATAAGGATCAGCCAAAGGGTTTCCTGGGTCAAGAAACTACAGAAACCATCGCCCTTGCTAGAAGATGGTTTTGGCATGAAATGAAAATAGTTCAGGCCTCTCCACCGCCATAATTAGGTACAAATTTCCAAATGACTAGACCATGTGATTTTACTTAATTCCCCCGCCACCCCCCTTTTTCAGAGTCGTTTGCTGTGAGGAAAATCTTTATTTTCCTTAAAATCCTTCTAGCCAACCCCTGCTGCCTTGAGGTGCCCTACCTACAAGTTCACTTGGGGCCTCTTCCCACCCACTCAAGAGCAAGTTTGGTGACGTGAGTATTTCCCGAGGTAGCTCACACTGGGGTTCCCACCGCAGAAACCCGCCCCTTCTAGGAAGGAGCTCCCTCTGCTCCACACCCAAGCGCTGCCACCCAAGGCCACCGGCTCGCAGCCCAGCAGCCTGGGTCCCTTGGCATCTTTGCCCACCTGGGCCCAGTGCACCTCTGCAACGGACACGCAAGAGCTTCAGAAGTCTACTTGATGAATAAACTGTTCTCTAAAGTGGCTCAGCTCCAGAGCCTGAGGGTGAGCCCCAAAATAGTCCCCGAACAGCAGATGTGTCCAAGGCGCGCCTTTTTATTGGCTCGTGAAAACAGAAAGACACGGGCCTCCTACAACCACAAAGGCCCAGCCCAGTGGCAGGAGCCGGGCAAGTTCGCAGCAATGACAATGGGGCCCTGCTGGGAGTGGGCTGGGGGGGCACCCACTGCCCCTGTGAGTCTGCCCGC